CATGACAACATTGGATTTCTTAAGCCTAATTTATGCAGTTTAGCTAAAAGAAGACCATGGTCAACTTTATCAAAGGCTTTATGAAGGTCGGTGTAGATAGCATCAACCTATCCTCCTGAAGCCACTGTTTCGGCCAAGTAGGAAAAAAATACTAATGTATTAGTCGATGTAGATTTAGCACGACGGAAGCCATGTTGTTCATTTACAAAAACGTGTAAGAATAAATCATATAATTTAGGTTCAAGAATTTTTTCAAAAAGTTTTGGTATAATATTTAATTTAGATATTGGTCTGTAGTTAGTGACAGAAGTTCTATCACCAGACTTCCAGACTGGAGTGACGTAATTGACTTTCCAGGTCTTTGGAAATGTACCTGAGTTTAGAGAAAGATTATACAAGTGATGGATAGGTTTAGTTATTGCCCAACGACAATTTTTTAATAAGATTGAAGGGATAAAATCAGGACCTGACGAATAAGTGATATTTAACGAGGCTATGGCATCAAAAACTTCAATAATTGAGATATCTTTCCTGTTACAATCAACGCAGTCATAGATATTATCTAGCACTTTATCATCAAAAGTAATAGGCTTAACATAAACGGACGAAAACCAATCACTAAATAAGTTTGCAACTTCAGTTGGATTATTAGAAGTTTTATCGAAATGGTGTACAGAAGCAGGGATAACATTATTTTTCCTAGATTTATTAATGTAGTTCCAAAAGTATTTGGGATTACTGATAAGTGAATATTGGGTAAGAGTTAGATGATCAGAGTAACATTTTTTAGTTAATATTTTACATTGTTTACGAATGTTAGAAAATATTACGTAGTCAGAAGGCAATTTAGAGACTTTATACTTTTTGTGGGCGACTATTTTTTTTCTTAACAAACTACGTAGGTTAATTGAAAACCAGTTGGGAAATATCCGTGTATGACTAAAATATTTAGGTACATATGTATTCATAACATCAGATACAATGCAATAAAACTCGTTTGTGGCAAAATTTACGCAATTTGAATTGTATAATTTTGACCAGTCACAGTTTGATAAGACCTGATTGATTAACTTAAAATTTTCCTTTTTAAAATTATACTTATAATTAGAACCAATTGATTTTTGATTTGAAGTGGCATATTCAAAACTAATAGAAAGAACAGGGTGATAAACATCTACAGGAACTAATTCTTCAGAGCATGGAGATACAAAGGTATTAATAACATTGAAGAAAATTAAATCTAGCTGAGATTGTTTGTGATTTTTTATTTCATTATATTGTGAAAAACCATTCTCAGAAAAGAAATCGTAAAATGCATCCGAGAATACAGAAGTAACACCGTTAACGTGCAAACCATTCTGATCAGATGTGAAAGAGGCTGCAGGTAAATTAAAATCACCCATTATTAAGATTTTTTGATTAATAGATCGTGTAGTTAGTAGCCATTCTAATGAACTTATTAAACTTACATAACTAGATAAAGGACTTGATAGGGGAATATAGCAAACTACCAGAATAATTTTATCATTACGATTTAGTTTAATTTCTACTATTAGATGTTCAATACAGGAGATAGGAGGTATTATCTGTAAAGCAGGAAATTTATTTTTTATACACAAGGCAACACCCCCTCCTCTTTTACACTTATTTGTAAGGGAATTACGATCTGATCGGAAAACGTTCTAATTATTAAAGCAAAGTTCATTGTCATGGATAGAATTGCATAACCATGTTTCAGTCAAAGCAAAAAAGTCATAATTTAAACAAGGAACATTTACACGGAGTAAATTAAGTTTAGTCCGAAGGCCTCTTACATTTTGATACATACCGGAAAAAATATTAACATTATTATAATTTAAATTATTAGAATTATAACGATTATTTACAGAATTTACATTAGTATTATACAAATTATTAACCTTAGGGTGACAAGTTAGTTTTTTTTTGAACTAATTTAGGAACTCCAGCGACATATTTTATGAGCCAGCTTGAATCACCTGAATCTCGTTTGGCCTTAAGTTGAGAACGGAGAAGCTTCATGTGGTTCCTTTGGATTTCAGTCATATCCATACTAATCGAAACATTTTTCCAACGAGCGCTGTTACGAATTTTTGATTTGATACGCAAAATAGAGTGAACCCCTGCGGGCGAGTTGAATTGTACTAAGATAGGACGTGGTCGGTTTTCAAGTTTACCTAACCGTTTAGCATTAGATACTAAAATTGGACTAGATAATTCCTGAAGGATTTCATTAACTAAGTTAGTAGCTCCAGAAGAATCTTCAGATATAGAGTCGGCCACATTAAATATTATGAGGTTTTTTTCTTTCAGTAATCTATCACGAGATTCTTTAATAATATCGAAATCAGGTAGTTGAGTAGATGCATTTAAGTTTTCTAATTTAGTAATCCTTTCACATAATGTTTGGATTTCTGAAGACATGATTGCATTATCTTTTTTAACTGTAGATAAATCAGCCGACAATTTACCCATAGATTTTTTAAGATCGATAAATAATGATTCAAGGTTAGTTAGTTTAATATTTATATCTTTAATACCTGAATCGTACGTATTTACTTTGTTGTTAATATCTGATAATAGGGACCAAATATTATCCAAAGTAATTGTTTTATTACTGGAACTGTTTTGTTGCTTCTTTGCTGGCGTATCTGCTTTGGGTTTCTGTGAGTTGTTCATAATTATTAATTTGTGATATATTGGTACTGATAATGGTGGAGAGATACGATTAAGATTATGATAGACGAATAGACGGTTATGAAACGTGTAATGTTATATAAACTAATAAAACTCGTAAATATCAAAATAATTAAATAACAGATAAGAGACAGGAATGAAACGCACGTCGTTACTGTACGACTGACTGTACTGTACTGATATTCTATGACTTTATCATATCATACATATTTTTCAGTAGAGGGACTGGCAAGGGTGCTGAACTGTTTTCTAGGGGGTTAAAGCCCCCCTTGTCTCTCCTTGATGCCGTTCCTGTACATATGTAATTTATAGCATAAAAAATAGCATCTGAATTAGTAAAAATTAATTTTAATGTTATTAATATTATTATTTCAAATGGGAAACATCTCTTAAACGTATGTATGATAACTGAGAGGTATTTTGAACTACAGGGGGCCTCTTTGAAGTAAAGGCATACCCTGCGATGAATTCCTAGATTCGCCTATGATTATCATATTTAGAACCATTTTAAAAATATCTGGAATGAAGCACTACATCGCCGCCTGTATGGCAGTGCATTTTATAAGGAATTTTCACTGGGCGACAAAAAAATGTTTTTCTCAAAATAATCAATGTAATACCATGGTACAATTATAGTATTACACGTTTGTTTCGCATTATTTCGCCTAATCTTTCAAAATATTGTCGACAGAGTAACAGAGAATAAATGTACATATTTTTTAATTTTAAATACATATCAATTCGCATGCGAGTCATTCAATTTTTTAATCTATTTTTAAAATATTTTAATGCTGAAATTAACCTTTCACAAGCAACTTGCGTAACTGAGAGCGTTAAAATTTACTGATTCGAGATAGTTAATATTGAGTAAGCATTTAAAAATAAATTATATTTTATTAATACATCTTAACATATTACACAGTTTTTACAAGATTGTTACAAGGTTATACAACATCCGTTATTTTTAGGTTTTTATTTCTGATTCACTTTTTAAATGATTGTTCATTATATTTGTCATCAACCAATTGTTTTAAAAAATTCCATGATTTTCTAAAATTAATCAGTTCTTCAGGTAGGTTATTTTTTATTCGATTTTCATTTAAATTATCATCAATAAACGGTTTAATTTTGTTTGATAATTTTGATAAAGAATTAGTTGGTAGTCCACTTTTAAATAAATTTAAATTTGATAGAGATAATAAAGATAAGTAAATCAAAAAATGAATTGAAAATCGTTTATTCATGCTTTCAATAAAAATATCCAACACTCTGTTGTTTTGGTCACAATCTTCCAATCATTAATTTCTCTTTGCTCTTAATTCTTCTGCTCTTTACACTTTCCACGCAAACAAAATCATATGCAACTTAAACCATAATCTTTTTCTATGTCTTTCTCTTTCTCTTCTTCGCATTTCGTTGTTCTGTAAACTCTCCTCTCTTGGCTACTCTTCCCTTGATATAATCCTTCTCCTCAATTCTCGTTCTCCTTCCATCATCTTACTTATCATCAATTTCATACTCGATGCAGATTTCCTAATTTAAAAAATTTGAATTTACAGTAAAAAAATCACACCATGTATACCAACATCGGTCGTAATTTTATTTAAAAAAAAACTTAATTGTCAAGCCATAATATCCTCAGGATAAAGGTAATAAATAAATATAATAAAACCAACTCTGGTGTAAATTCGTATAGTGATCTATATTTATATTTATATATATTTATTTTATATTATATTATATTTTATATATTTAATATTAATATACATTGTAAAGAATATAACATACATATGTACGTCGTACAGCACAAACATAAGCAAATACATGTATTAGCTTTCCAGATGTCATCGAACAGAGTAAACGATTTGGAAATTTGGCGTGATCGAAACTAATTAATAATTGACGATTGACGTGAATTGTATATTAAATACATGTATTAGGTTTACAGATGTCACCGAACAGAGTAAACGATTTCAAAATTTAGCGTGATCAAAACTAATTATTAATTGACGATTGGTACAAAGTAATTAATTAGGTACTAAACATATGTGCAATTACACCAATTTTTTTTTTATACCCATTCATCTCGAAGTCTATATTAATGATAAATACATATTAAAATACATTTAAATTATATTTTACGTACCTGCCTGCATATTCTGCAGACATTTAATTTACAGTCAAATGTAAAAGCATCTATATCTAAGTATTTTGTTTTCTCATAATTTATAATACATGTAAAAATTAAAACATACAGTAAATAAGTCTTTAAAATTAACAACTAACAAGAAATGTACAAAACCATTTTTATTATTAATTTATACAGTCTTAGATATTAAATATTAATTTCGTCTAGTCGTGTATTATTTGTTTTCAGTTTATGATGTCCACATTAGTATTTATAATTCTTGTGAACCTCAGTATTTCAACAAATATTTTATTTGGAGAAAACGTATGTAGTCATTATGATGATGAAGATTGTGTACATCCAAATGTAATAAAAAACGGACATTTCGTTAACCAATGGTCAGTTCATTTACCCGGATTGACTAAGGGACAAGCTAGGCAACTACTTGAAGAAAATGGTTTTGTGTATTTAGGAAAGGTTATAATTATTCATATAACTTTGATCAAATTTTAACATTTAATCTTTCATTATTTGTCTTATAGATAATGGATGGTGCAGACTTACATCTTGTAACTAAAACAGATATACCAGAAAAACATGGAATGCCTAACAAAAAAATCATAAACCTCCTTAAAAGTCTTGAAAAAGTTAAGTAAACATTTTTTATTTAAACTATTGATATTGAAATTACTACTAACAATATCAACATGAAAGTCATATTATAAATTAAAATCTTGAATTTAAAATTCCTTTTAACTTTCAAGATCATAGTGATTTTTTTTAATAGCATGGTTAATTTCACTGTGTTAGGTAACACTTAAAGATATCTCTTTATAATTTTTACGAGCTTACCTAATAAATGATGTTGATAACTTTTTTTATAAGACTTATTAGAATTTGTCTGGACCTTATATACTCGTTACTATCAGTTCTAATAGTTGGTAAAATATAAAATATAAATGATTTTTCTAAACATTAGTATATACTGGGGCAGATTTAAAAGGGTGTGAAGTGGAGATCACCTCCTCCACCTTGTCTTTATTTTTTTCATCACAGATTTATTTAATAATTTTGATATAGGTACATTTAATTAATAGATTGAAAATACAGTTAAGATCACGAATGAGCAAAAGTAGACTAACTGGATTGCCTTTAATGCATATATATAAAGACATGATTGTAAATATAAAAGAAGTCATTAATATGTTTGCAAATGAAAAAAAAAAGGAATATTAAATTATTAATGTAATTAATATTTTTAAATAATATATTTATATACTTAAATTAAATAAAGGTATCTATATTGAATTAAATGCATATATATATAACTCATAGATATTTATATTTACCACTAACTTAACCTAACCTAACAAGCTTCAGATCCGCCCTTGACTATATATATATATCTAAAAAAACAGATATCTATAATGATACATAAATTATAATAAATATAAAGAATTGTTTACTATTTCTAAATCTTTAAAATCAAAGTCGCAAATTTTATAAATTTTTTATATAAAAATTTAATACTTACATTTTTTATAAAATATATTTGATTAGAATTCTGAATTATAGTTATAATTATCTATTAAATACTGTGCTAAGCTAATCCTTAATTTTAAGTGAAATGAATTGCATTTTATTATTTTTGAAATAAGTAAATTATTTATATTATGAATAAATAATCGCTTTATTTTAGGTCAAGTCAGTTGAACAAAAACACGTTATCCACAATTCTCCAGACGAAGTATACAGTTTTCTCGACGAAAATAAAGTCTACTTACAATTTTTAAATCCTGACCAAATCAAACTTAACGATGGTAGAGAAAACTTGGAAAGAATAATGAAGTATAAAACCAATAAGAAAAAGGATGTTGAGTCAGATAAGATTAAGCGCATATCTAGGAACCATATTCAGTCAGAAACCGACAAAACAAATAGCGATAGTTGTAACCATAGTTATTTGGAATATAAGCACAACAAAGACGATAATAAGTCAAGCAGTAAAACTTCTTCGGAACTGGCACATGAAAAATTAATGGAAATGGACTTGTCTGATGAGAATTTGACAACCGAAGATTTCTCAATTGAAATGGTTTCGATGGAGTATCCATTTGAAAATACTTCACCATAGGTGAATACAAATTATGATGGAACTCAACGAACAAGTTAACAAGTTCGTTATGATGGTAAAGAATATAAAGTACCTATAGCCTATAATTTATAATTTAAGCAACAATACAAAATAAAATGTATAACTATATTGCATATTGGTATAATAATTAAGATGCTCTATAATACCTTCAACCAACTAAATGTTTGCCAGTCTAATTTTATTCTTAAATTTCAATACTTTTTATTTAATTTTTTTCTTTATACTTTAATTTATCCTTCTAGATACATATAAAATTGTGTTATTAGAAATAAAAATAATCAAATCCAACTCAGTAATATATACATATATATTTGAATAAATTTAAGATTTCACTTGGTAGGAAACTTTTGATAAAAAAGTTATTCAAACATAATATATAAATACATGATACATTTTAAACATAATACGTTATGTTAATAATAAGTTATAATAATATGTTCTACGCGAATTTTCTATACTTAGAGTTTATCATATAAATGTTACGCCGAATATATGAAATTACCGATTTCATGAAATCAGCAATGCCGTTGCTGAATACGTGAATTATAAATATAAATAATATAAAATATGAAAAATTAAGTACAAAAAAACTAATAATTTTAGTACCTTGTAATGAACAAAATGTATGTAAACAATATCATACGATTACATAAAAAAATCAGAAAACATCGAAAAATAAAGAAAAATAAGATAATTGTAAGCAATTATACCTCAATATTTTGGCCATTACGACCTGGATGGCAAACCGAACTGCATATCATACCATTTATTTGGAAGGTTAATATTTTGGATGAACAATTCGCTTGACAGTTGTATCACCGATATCCATGCCTCATTCCAACTGATCCTAATCAAATGTGTTCCCGTAACGAATATTCGTTCTCAGTTTGGGCGTCTGCAATCATCAGAGAACAATATTTCGTGACCGCCAAACTATTTCACTTTGTCCCTGTATTGAAAGCCACATCTTTTGTGGCAATACGAAAATGTCCATCTTTTTCCTCGATTATGACAAATGAAAATTAGCTGCGTCTCCACAGTCTCGATCTAACGTTGGAAGGGCATCAGAAAATTGTCACCAACTTTAACGGGAGGGAGAATACTATTTCCTCTAGTTATCATTCTGTCGGTTTGCTTCTTCAGATTTTGAACTGCAATCCTTCATTGCATTGGAACAGAATGATCGGAAACTATGTTAAATTCCACAGTTTCACTTATTTTCTGTATTTTTATGATAAAATCAGAACACTGCAAATTGCAATACATATTCGTAATAACATATAAACACACTACACTAAAATATACTTTAATTTTATGTATTACTTAACATTTCATCAATTTGGGGATCAGTAAACAGAAGCAGTAAAAAGCAAATAAAAAGAATTGGTATGTGTTTGATTATTAATTTTACTATGGCCGTTTGAATGTAGTCTTTTTGTATTGGGGGCTCTTGGTGGAACTTTAGTGAAAATTTTATAATAATTACAGCACCGGCATGTGCGGTGTCATCGGGGTGTGGAGTAGAGAAAATATGATAAAGGGTATGACAGGGATTGAAAATTTTGTTCGGGAAGTAAAGTGGGTTTCAGCTATCAATTCAATATCTACTCGTTTTTCGTGTAATAATGTAACTAACTCATTTTTGTGATTTTGAAGGCCGTTTAAGTTCCAAAGAAATATGGCTAGGGATGTATAGGAATTATTTTGCATTTGAAATTAGACGATTGAGGACGGTTGTTAAAAGCGATATTAACGGATTTATAATTGATTTGAACTCGTTAAGGAAATTTGAAAGAAATGAATTTTCAATTTGAGCTGATGGAGGGGAGATTGAATAAGAGGTTATATTAGCATATAAGAGCGGAATATTAGAATGTGTATTTTTGGAGGTTATCTGCTGGTTAGACTTAATTTGTACATTATTTGGGTGGTTTAAACTGTTTACATTATTTTCATTATTTATAATAGTATTATTAACATTTTTACGATTTTGTATTGACTGACTGGGCTGACGAATTTGTTGAAGTAGTTTGTGGATGCGACATCTCCTGTAGTTTGCCGGATGATCAACGTGGCAAAGGGCACATTTGTCTGGAGTATCTCTCGGTTTTTGATATATGTTTGAGGAGTGATTGTCCCAACACCGGACACATCTAGATGGATAAGAGCTATATTTTTTTGTATGCCCATATTCCTGACAATTTTGGCATTGGGTAATTACATGATGTTTATGTGGTTCTTCTATTTTTATTTTGTTATATAATAATTTATCAATTTTAAAGATGCCTGTGTTTTGAGGGGAGGGTTCAAAGTCTACGAAAAAGATTTCGTTGAGTGCTTCCGTGATGTCGATGGTTGAAGTTGTAGACTGTAAATTGCGTATTACGATCCTAAAAGCTTTATCTTCTTTAGCTTGCTAAGTGTGATACTCAGCACAGTGACGTAATTTCAGTTTTTTATAGGAGGGGACAACATTTTTGACCGGCCCATACTACCGGGGGAAATATGAAGTTTAACTTACACGTTTTAACTTATACTCCTAACACATATTTTATATATTATATTATTATAAAACATAAATGTTTGTAATATATAATTTTATATTTTATAAATATTACCTAAACAAGGTTAACTTAATCTAACTTAATCCTAAATTAATCTAAGCTGTAAGCGAGTATCTTCTATTTTTAATTTTTGAAAATACATCTACTGCATCATCTAAACTGATTTTTGCAGTAATATCACTTTCCTATAGCTATAACCAATAAATCACTCAGCCAATCATCTGTCAAACGTAGATAGGTTTTAATTAATTTAAGGAAAGAAAAAGAACGTTCGTTGGAAGCAGTTGTAACAGGTAAAGTTAAAAGAATATTTATAATTTTAAGAGTTTCAGTAAAAGCTTTAGGAAGTTCATTTAACATTTTAGAAATAGAAAAAAGATCATAATTTCCATTATCTCGTTCTTTATTAGAATAATATAAGTTAATTAGGTTAATTAATTTAAGTTTTATGCAGATAATAATGCAGTTTGAAGTATTAAATTATCAATTTTAAAATAACTATAATAATTAAGGAAAGACACTAAATAGGGGATTTTGAAATTAAAATAATCAGGACTGGAAGATAAAAAAATATTACAAGTAAAAATAATTTCATTGCTAGAATTGGTGAAACGATGGTAAAGTTCATTCAAAAATCTAATATTCTTGTAAAATGCTCATGTGTCTATTTATAGTTTATATCAACTGGCAATCACAAAATATTGTGGCAATAAATAATTATCCAATATGCAGTATTTTCAAATAATAAAAATATACTTGATTTTCCACAAATAACGGCTAATGGTTAAACGATAACGAACGGCCCTTTGGAATGCTTTTTAATCAGACAGGGGAAAATGTCCACCTTATCCCCACCCCCAAATGACGCTACTGACTCATCATTGTTATTTTTAAGGAATACAATTATTTTTCGATAGGCTGTTGGTTTGTCAACTTAAATTTTTAGATTTGTTGATGAGGATTTGAATACAAATGTATCGGGTAGAACTAAGTTTGAAATTTCGTTTTTTAAGCTTATGAAGTCTAAAACACCTCGAACAAAAATGGGTGGAGGGAGAAGTTCTAGATTTTTTTTGTGTGGGTTCGTAATTATTATTATTATTATTTTCGTGATTTAATACATCGTTAATTTGTGTCGTATTACTAACCATTGGTTCTTAGTTTTTGAGGACAGCAAATATGTTGGATGAATCGAATAAAAGTTTTTTTTTTTTTTTAAGTGAGCCGGCAATAGACGTGGGCAGGTTTCGTTTTTAGATTTGACAATATTAAAATTTTGTTCGTTTTCGACATTTTCGTCGAAAACTGAGTCATTTGAGTTGCTTTGTATGCAGTGCTGCAATTACACTAACTTGGGCCCGTGTGCAGTGGCCTAGCAAGGGTATGGCGAACTGTGCCTAAGCCAGGGGCGCGAATTGCAAAGGGGCGCAAAATTGTGCATAAGTCGTATTTTTATCCTACAATTAAATCGAAATTTTTCTATTATACTTTTTGAAATACATAGATGTTGCCTATTTGTACAGACTACATTTGAATTTAATGATGAAATTATGAAAATATTAATACATACAATACATACATAACAAGCAAATTTAAATAAAAAACTTCATAATATGAAAAAATTATCGATGAATTTGCTAGTCATAAAGCGAGAAAAGCAAATTTTCAAAGTTTAAACACTAAAATAATTACTTATGAATAAAAATTGTATCCTTAAAAAAAATTATTGTATCATCGAATTTTAATTGGTTACAAAGCGTTTTTTTTTCTAAGTTTTCCAGGGGTCAGAAACTGGCCAAGTGTTAAATAATACAAATAAAAGAGGAGTGTTGCTTTTTAATGTAGGAGTGCAGTGAGGTTATGAATTAAAAAATACCAGACTTGGCCATAATGTAGATTTCATTACTTTGATATGCCGACTTTTTTGGGAGTGAGTTTGGAACTTGGCCTTTTTTTCACCGTTAGGTTCTTTTTGGAGATGAATTAAAATTCACGGAGTAGCTAGAGACATGTGCGTACGTGAAGAATAATCGACCGACACTTTTTCATATTTTAACCTATTTAAGATGACTTAAAAAATCGAAGAGAAATGGTTTTTATATTAACAAAAGCATCTGAAGTATATCCTACATTTTGAAGGTTAATATTTTTATCCAATGTATAAATAGGAAACTATTTTAACCTAACCTAAGTTAGTGAACTTGAATTTTTTTCTGTTATAGCGTATATTTATTGATATCGATATTTTATTAATATCAGAAAAATAAAAAATTTATCGATTTTTAAAAATGTTTCGCTGGCCATTTCTATCATTTTTTTTATACACTTCCATCGATATAGATAAAACACTGGATCTATCACTCGTAAATATAATATGAGTCACTGTAATAAGAGTAACTAACAATCTGTAAGGGCAAAATATTATTTTATACATAGGTACGACGAGGAAAAGTTTCCTGGACAACAAATGTTATATTTTTGTAAAATAATTATTTTACTTAGTACCTACTGAATACTCAGTAATCCATCAACTATTTGATCATG